TTTGGGTTTAGCGCTTTAGGGTTTAGGGTTTAGGGTTCAGGGGCTTACCGCATTAGGCTTTACGGTTTAGGGATGAAAAGAGAGTATCATACTCATTTCAGCAAAACCACGTACTTTGAGAACTTTGTGAAAAAGAGGGCTGCCTTAAATAGTAGCAAAAAGTTTCGGGGGCATAGCTAATTCAGTAAGCTATTTATAATGGAGCCCTTGAAAAAATAGGGGTAAGCATTCAGGCTTCTATGGTAGTCACTAGTAAACCCTAAACCCTAAACCCTAAACCCTAAACCCACACCCTCGAGCCCCAAAAATGAAATCATGATTCCGCAAGCTACTAACACCGAAAACCGACGATGACCATCGAGACCCTTAGCTACCTACGGTTTAGGGTTTAGGGTTTAGGGTTTAAGGTTTAGGGCTTAGGGTTTAGGGTTTAGGGTTTAGTGTGTCCCAGCTATACTCGCACGAAATACCTCAACACCCTAAAACGCGCAAAACCCTAGAACCCTTGATGACCCTCGAACCTGAGCCCGAGAACCTCCTCAGGATGTTTGTTGGGTTTCTAGAGGGGTTTAGGGTTTAGGGTTTCGGGTTTAGGGTTTCTAGAGGGGTTGATGCGGTAAATAACCAAGTCCGTCAGAAAAGCAATCCCCGTATCCCGGAAACCCTCAAACCCCTTGAAGAAGCCTGAAAGAAGTCCCCTGGCAGACACCTCTCGACACACTACCAGAGTCCATCCAAGAAGCAAGCTCGCCAACTCCGCCACCTGAGGGCATTGGCCCAAAAGCTCGGGGGACCTTTGGGCTTTCGGGTTTACCCGGACTCCAAATAACCTACCTTTTTCGGGTTCCTTATAGAGTTTCTTTATATAAGTCCTTAAAACGGAAGGTTCCGTGGGGTTAAGGTAGGGTTTAGGGTTTGGGCTTAGTTCCAGGGTTGCTCCCATCACCTGAGTATCCCAGTGCGCCCCATTGCTGTCGTCAGTGTCGTCGTCCACCAGTTCGACGTCCATGGCTCAAGGAGCCTCGAAGCCCCAGAGTCTTAGGCGTAGCAGCTGTCGTAGTCGTCGTAGTTATGGTGGTAGTGGTGGGGTGGTGGTCGTGTTCGTCGTAGTCGTAGTAGTGGTGGTGGTGGTGGTGGTGGTGGTGGCAATAGCACAGCAGCAACAGTTATCCTGGATGCTGTTTGTGTTGTATTATGTTGTTGTTGTTGTTGCTGCTAGGCTTGTTCTTGTTCTTCTTCTACGCATATGTTCTTTCTTCGTGACGGCGATTACGCAGCAACAGTAGTAGTAGCATTAGCATGAGCATGAGCATTAGCATTAGCATTAGCAGTAGTATTAGTATTAGTATTAGTACTAGTACTAGTATTAGTATTAGTATTCGTATTAGTATTAGTATTAGTATTAGTATTACTATTAAGAAACAGGAATCGGTAATAATAACAATAATATTAATAATATTAAGAAGATCAGTAATATTAACACTGATAACAACTGTGGTGATGATGATTCCCTTGCTTGCCCTCGGAGCAGACAGACGGGTTGGCCAGCTCCTGCTCTTGCGCGGTTCGGAGACCCAAGAGAGCCTGCAGTGTCCGTTTTCGCCGGAAGAGTGGTCTGGGGGTCTCATTTTACGGTGTAGGGTTTGGGGTTTCGGGGTCGGGATCTGCACAACAATGTTACTTTCCTATCTTTCCCCAACTGGATCCTAGATTTTTTCCTTAAGCCTCGAGCCCTAAACCCCTATGGTCCCTATGTTTGCAGCACAAGTTCACAACCAGCCTTATCTCACTAAGACGGCCCCCGGGATGCCATCCGAACAGAGGTCCTTGGGTTGTCGGTTTGGAGTTCAGTTTTTAGGGCTTAGGGTTTAGAGCTTCGGGCTTGCATGCGTAGAGTTTAGGTTTCAGGTTTTCAGGTTTTGGGTGCAGGATTTTGGATTTAGGTTGTAGGGGGTTTAGCCTTCAGGTTTTCGGCTTTAATTTTCGGGTTCAGGCTTTAGGGTTGGGTTGGGTAGGGGGTGGGTTTGGGGGTTTAGAGCGGTTCGAGGGTCCGGCTTTACCACCGTACACACAAGAGGATGCGGTAAGGGGATGTGGGGTAGGCACCAGTGTGTCCGGGCCACTCACTCCTTCCCTTCCTTGGTGCTGCGAGTGGAATGTGAGGGACAGCCTTGGGTTTGTAGTTCAAAGCTTGAAATCCTAAACCCTAAACCCGGCTTAGAACCCTGTAACCTCTAAACCCTGAGCTCCAATCGTAAACCCTCTATTGACGAAGAGCCTGCAGCCCTTTGAGTTTTTTCTGGGCCTTATGTCCGCGTCCTAGACTCCAAGCCCCCAGTCTCTGTACAAGGCTCAGGCCTCACAAGCCTGTACACCAGCAGTTAAACGAAGGTACTCTTGTGCACTTGTTTGTGGGCGGCTTCCTCTTAAGACTGAATAGTAGGGACAACAAACAGTGCACTGTTTTTTCAGAGACTAGTCGGGTATACCAAACCCTAAACCCTTAGGTCCCAACCCTAACTCGCAACCCCTAAACCCAAAACGCTAGACCACAAAACAAGATGGTAAGTGGAACCAGAGGTGAGCCCTAAAGGTCCTAGAAGTCAGAGCCCCAAACCCGCCCAAAACTGATCCCCAAAGTCCTCGAAGTCTGAGCCATACTTAGAGGTTTAGGGTTTGGGGTTGTGGTGTTGAGGGTTTAGAATTTTAAGGTGTAGGGTTTCAGATCTTTGAGTGCAGTGTCACGGCTTGATTAAGGAAGGTTCCTAGTCCCAACCTCGAATCACAAGAACAGGCATTGGGATTTGGGGTTTTAGGGGTGTGTAGGCCCTAGAGGTTTAGGGCGTAGGGGTCGGGCAGTCAGGTTTTTGGGTTCAGAGTTCAGGGATGGGTCAGGAATGCGAGCCCGTGATTGTAGCCGGAGGGTTGGTGGGCAGGGCTGATGCTGCATCGACTTGGCAGCGAGTGTTGGTATTGAGTTAACAACAGCGCCAGTAAGCAATAGCGCTGCTGATACTACTACTGCCACTGCCACCACTGCCATTGCTCCGAAATGCTACTATTGCAACGGCCACGACGACGACGACTACTGCCACCACTGCTGCTGCTGCTGTTACGACAAAATCCCACCCCTCCTCCTCCTCCTACTGCCGCTGCTGCTACTATACTA